TATAGGCGCAGCAATGAGGTCATAGTCGCCTGGCCTTGCTTCAGCTGCGACGTAGGAATACGTCCCTCGAGCGAAACGGTCTGATCCCCAGCGAGTAACGATTGACTCTAGGGGGATGGGAACGTTCGTCGAACCAAAAACATTGCGTAACTGCTCAAGACACTGTCCGACGAGGATCTCATCGCTGAGCCTTTCCGCTTCGTGTGCCGCCTCGCCAGCCATCAGAGCAATGAGGACGGGAAGTCCGGTTGTGTCAATGCAATTCCAGAATAAGTAGAACTGACCACGCCCTTCTTTATAGTCTCTCTGATGATTGCCTTGTCCGTTTCGAGGAGCTCGAAGAAGACCAAACATGTCTCTACCGATGTCCCAGAAAGGTTTCTCAAATACAAGGATGACCTTGTTGAGCAGGCCAAAGCCCATCCTTCTGATAGCGTCGCGCTTCCATTGAGGCAGGGGTGGATCGAATTGGATCGACTGGTCTTTCAGCACTCCAAGCGGAGCAGCAAAGACAACCTTGTCCGCTTCAATTGATTGTCCATCCTCGCAGGTGACGGTTGCTTTCGCCTGCGAGCCCGCGGCGCTGTATCGAATGCTCTTGACAGCCTTGCGTGTTCGGACATCAAGTGGCTCTGGAAAGCGATACAATGCACGCGGGACCTGCTGATAGCCACCAACGACTTGAGCATGTTCTCCTTCAAACTCGTTGCCAATGTCCTGGTCCCAACCGCGGAGGCTCAACTTGTCGACATTGGCTGCATTTGCGTATTCAAGGTTCGCAAAATGCCAGTTGATCAGGCGCAGGGCATAGGGCTTGAGGTCAAGAAACTTCTGATACTGGTCCACACCAGAATTCATGACAGCTCCTAGTGATTGGTTGAGCTGCGATGCAAGACCATCTAGCTCTAGCGTCTCATGCATCTGGGTTGTTTTTCGCAACAGAAAACCAAACTCCTTGGCTGCTTGGGCAGCGGGCAGTTGCATTTTTGTTTCCATGCTTGTATCCACTTCCTCCGAGGATTTGTCTCCTTTTGCAGCTCTGTGACCTGCGCCACGACGTTTTGATTTCTTATTGGGCAGGAGCTGGTCGATTGTGCCCATTGCAGTAGCTTCTTCAAACTGTTTGATGGTAATTCCATCCTCGTCGGGAGGATCACGTCCCGCCTCAATTAGATCCTTGTCACCTGATGCAGTTCTCTTGACAGTGTGTTTGAGTCGGTAATGACCAGTACGTTCAAGAATGTCATTGTATAATCTTTCAATCATTGCGTCGTTCACGCCGTTGACGGGGGTGCCGTCGATGTCGTAGAGGGTAGAGAGGTCTCGTAGGAGGTGGTATTCGAGAGCAAGCTGCCCACGAACAATGGCATCAAGGGGATTGCCGCGTTCGAACCCGACAATGATGTGTGCACCCATCTCGGCCGTAGGCCTTTGATGAGGCGCAAGCCTGGAAGATCGCATGCTGGTAAGCGGATGTGAGTAGATTCGCCCACCTATCCTTTCGCGGCCTTCAAGTACTATGATCCTTGGAGGAGCTCGATCAGGATAGTGCTGAAACAGGTTGGTGAGCTGGCGTGCGGTACTTAGACCAGCCATGCCACCTCCAATGACTACAATGGTCTCTCGTGATGTTTCCTTCTTACGGCCACGGCCGATACTTCGGCTGATGAAGGGTGGCTCAACGCAGCCGAAGTTGATGTAGCCTCGTCGCACGAGCCATTCGTATGCAAAGCAAGCAAGACGAGTCCATCTCTCATCTCTTGCACAACCAATCGCTTCATCAAGGTTGACGCTTACGCTTGGATTTCGAGTCCACAACCGTAGAATGCCATTTCGTATATTCAGATATACCGTGACGTGAGAATAACACAATTTGTCTTGCAACAACTTATGTTCATCTTCATGCAAGGCATATGGATCGAGCCTCGAGGCTTCAGCCGCTGCCACACACTGACTGGCATACTCGGAGGGGGACAGCCTCGGAGGAATGGACGATTTGGGTCGGCAGGCGGTCGAGGCTTTCAAGAACATGTACGGGCTTACATTGTTCGAAGTTTCGGATTTGACGTCCATCTTGAGTGTTATTTTAGTCTTTGGTTCTGGGGCTGAAGAGGTGACAGAACCCGAGGTCATCGAGCTGTTAGGAGAGTCACGGTTTTCGCTTTCAACTTGCAAGCTTCGCAAGATTGAGGCGGGGCCGCTGGATAAAGCATCGTCCGAATCGTCTTCCATCTTGATGACAGAATCGTCGTCCGAATAGTCATGCATGGTTTGATCATGGCTGGGCTTGATCAGTATCAAAATAACCACCAGTATGATTACATTGCTGCAACCATAGCGCACAAAGCAGGCCAGCATACCTTGAACCGACCGCAATTGACACCTTGGCTACATCAACGCCGAGTATTGTGGTAGACATGATTTCTTTGGTGTTTGATATTGCTATTGCTGCCGCCATATAGTCATAAGGTCATCAACGAGTGATTTGATATTGCCGACTGCCCAGCGCAATATGTGGAAAGAAGGGTCAGGAAGTAAATGAAATGATCGAAGTCGGTCTTTCAATAGAGGAACTGGCTAGCATTAGCATGGCTCGCATAGTCAGGGTCAAGGTGGACGGGGTGGGTGTGAGAGGTATCAAGTACCTGGTGCGCCCTCCCTGACCTTGGTGGTATGATATGCTCCACTAATATCGCAAACTCTTTCAGCTGACCTGACCAGGTCGATCTATTCTCGCCCTTGATCCTCCACGCCGTTCGCAAAGGAAGTGTAGGTTGACCAGAGTGCATTATCAGACTGGATCTTGCTGAAGGGGTTGTATTGGCAGGGGTGAGGTTGAGAGAGAAGAGAAAGCCCCAGGTGTGTCGCCGCCCACTAAATTGGAGCATCTCGGCGCTGTTCTGAGCAGCCGAGTTTGATGCAACTACAACTTATCCCGTCACCTCGACTCTCCTGCCAGATATCGCCAGATATATTATCAAAATGTTTACGACGAACATTACCTTCTCACCACATTACATGGCGATCTTTTCTGGAAGCTCCTGACCCGTCTTCGCAAGACAACCAGCTGCGCTTGCTCGCCTACTCCTATCCTTGTCCTTCGGGTGCACCCATTGCAGCCCCTCACCGCTACAGCCTCTCGTCCTGCGCTGGCCTGATATACCTTCAAAACCAATGGTACGAATGGAAATTCATCAAGAAAAATACCTTAGGGTCTCTACGGTCGAGTCAACGCTCGATCAGGATCATTACGTGCTTGTTTGATGGACGTCGTGGTGCATGTCATCGCCAGTGAAAAATTTGTCGCCACTTAGCTTGAGACATATTTCTTTGATATGGCGCTTGGCTGCCCGTCCATCAACATATAATCGGAGCCTGGGAGCTCACATTGGCGCATCCGATAATCATGATCCAATTGATGACCATATGTGATGGATTGCTGCTGAGTGATACATGATGCCCCAACCCTGAGCAACAGATGCACACTACGCTCATGTAGACAAAGGTATGGTCTCACTCAATCAAAACCAGTACTCAGCTATTGTCCGTTATATTGATGAAAACAATCTCGATGAACCACTGGTTCCTGCTTGCCTTGTGCATGTTAACTTACATATCTGGAGCTATGCTGACACGACAGAATATTTCGATACCATTCCCTTCTGGTGCTGTTCAGGTTCTTCTGCCATACGCTCCCAGTTCATGGCACTATACCTACTTTCTACAGTTGGTCGTCTCTTCAGACCATCACCTCTGCCCGCCAGACATCTGCGAACGTCGATACTAGAACCAGGCATTGGGTGGGACATGATCAAGAGCGTAGGTACCTCTATGGACCAAATGTTTAAAAGGCAATATATAAAAAAGAAAGAGACGAGGGTTTGAGAAATGCTCAACATCGAGAAACCCAGAGATGAAAGTATGGTCGCTCACGAAGGGATCATTGCACATATCATCAGCCTGAAGCCTGTTCCTCTCAGAGCGGAGGCGATAGGCGTGCTTTTCGTGTTGCCCTTCACGTGCCTTGCACCGAAAGGAGATGGAATGAGATATGAAACACAAGGTATAGATTTGTGCTACGAACGAAGTATATCTTGTGATCTCTGGTGGTGAAATAAAAGGCGATATTTGTGCGCAATGAGTTTCTCATTGACCATTTGAGTAACGGCTGTTGTAGCCAATTTCTACACATTTCACAATGACCGATGCGATGGCACTTATCTCGTCTTCAATCACTTTTAGACATTGTAGTCCCAGCGTTTCCCCTTCTTTCAAGCGGCGTTACTCGTCGATATCAACTCACCAGGTTCACAAACAGAGCTATGTTCGCAGAGCTGGGAACCACCAGGCCAGTGAATGAACGCAGGCGGGGCCATTCCGCATTCTCACCATTGACCGTGGCACTCGCGTCCCTCAACTCCCACTCCCAATCAACGAGCAACTTCAACCAAGTTCCTGCACTGACCTGCACAGAACGAGGCGAGTTTGACTAGACCTTGTGTGCCAAAGACAGTCATCATGTCATGAACCTACTCGCCAAATCTTTGTCGTGTGGGGCGCGAACCATCGAACCAGCAAAAGCAATCCAGCATCTCGGCCGGACTGCTACCACGCCTTTCCTTTGTCTTCCTACCAATACAGGCTCGAGAATAACAAGAAGAAGAATGGCCACCGTGAAAGACTCAGTGCCCCATATCATCAGGACCGCCGAGGATCCCCGGCAGAGGGGTTTATGGACAGCCCGATTGAGCAAGGTTGAACACATCAATTCCAAGATACGGCTGCTGAGATTGAGTCTGCAAAGAGATGGAGTAGGTGTGACCTTTTTTCCCCTTGTCTCCCTCTGTCTATCATGTCATATCATCATCTGTCTTGTTTGGACCATGTCTCCTAAATACTCTGGGTGAGGAATGCGTGCCTTGGAAATGTATATTTGCTCCAACCAGCCTGAGTCGTTGCCTGCATCCTAGTCTGGGCAGTTGCACAGTCTTGTCGTCACGATGGTTTACTGTATTTGTTTCTGCAAGAGCAATTCCAATTTCGATTCAGTGCAGCAGATATATTTTGCTTAATACCTCAAGAAGACACTGTTCCCCGGGCTCACATGAACTACCATTCTAGTAGCCACCTCTCTGCCATCTCCCAGGCCAATACGTGGACCTGTACATCCCCAACATCGATGTCGTGGGCGGCTTCACCATCACTTCGCCGCCTCAAGCATCTTCCCTATCTCAAGATGACCCACACATAGAACTGGCGATCCAGTGCTCTCCGTCAAACCCACCGGCAGCATACCTCTGGCGACCCGCCCAGGAGATCCTCGGCTCAACCGTGACGTTCCGCGTGGGCGGGAATTTCGTGTATCCGCCCCCGACGCTGGACCAAGAAGAATGCCGGGCATTGGACAGGGTGGTGTTCGTCGCGGGAGGCGTCGGGATAAATCCCATCATGAGCATGATCTCCGCGATGCATGTCTTGGGGGCGGACAAGCTGGGCGGCATGACCAGGACCGTCAGAGTGCTTTACGCCGCGAGGCGAGAGAGGAATGGCGAGACCGGCCTGGGAGAAGAGATTCTGTTCGAGAAGAGACTGAAAGACATAGCGGCGGAGTGGGAAAGCCACGCGCACGTCGACTTCAAATACACACTCTTCGAGACCGGCGGGCACGGCGATGCTGACGGAGTGACGCAAGACGACGTCGTACAAGGCAATACGGCAACGCGCTATAGGCGGTTCAGCCATGACGATCTCTTCGACGCCCTCGGGCCTGAAGGCAGCAGAGCCCACACGGCTGTGTATGTGTGTGGCTTGCCCACCATGACCGACGAATTTGTGGCTTTGCTGCAGAAAGCGCCAGGGATGGAGGACAGGAGAGTGCTTTGCGAGAAATGGTGGTGAACCCAGGAGTAAGGCCGCAGAAAGCACCTGCGAGAACTCAACACGCACAAGGGCCCGGATGGAACGGTGGAGAATGATCTTATACATTTCTCACAGGGTATGGGGTATCATGCCTTTCCTCCCTTGGGCCATTGCGCAGCCGCTGCCGATTGCACCACTTCCGATGCTTTTTGTCCACCGTCATAGCTCTCAATACCATGTTCAATAGAGCGGCTCAATCTCGATGAACCGAAGGCCAGCACAAAACAAACCCTAGGCCGTATCTTGCTTCGAAATCAACGTGAGCTAGCCTGCCCCGATCTTTAACCCTGAACGCCGTGTGACTGTACATGCAATAGTCGTGACAAACATCTCTTGGCAGGCAATGATATAACAGCATTGAAAAGCAACATTCTTGTGATCGTGAGTTGCCCAAAAAGCCGAAGTCCATGCCCGCGGTGTCGTATCCGAGCGACAAGATTTTCTTCTTTGCTTCACATGCCTGTGACGACCTTTCCACCATCCACTACTATCTGCTCATCAATCCTCTTCTTCAGCGTCTCTTCATCGCCCCACTCGAGCCGTTTCCATGTCGTGATTCGCGCCTCGTTCATGTCCATCTCAAAAAACCTCATTCTTCTATGGTATCCGTAGTACCCACCATATCCACCAAATCCGGCGCCGCCGCCGTAACACATCCATAGTGCCGGTTTCTTGTTCTTGTCATTCGCGGGCAGGCAGTAATCGTTCACATGGTCGTGGCCGCAAGAAACGACGAGAACGTTTTCTTCGACGAGGGCATCCTTGAAGTTTGAATTGTAGGCTGGGGCCGTAGGTGGTTCCGTCCAGTTTCCCACCCAGGCCAAATTATCAGGGTTGCGATATTCTGGTAAGGGTATGTGAATAAACGCCAGGTCCATGTGGATATGTGTGTATTCCTTATGTTTCCTTTTCAGAGATTGAGATGTACTCTTGAACCAGTCAATCTGGGACTGTTTGAGCCAGTCATAGCCATGATAGTGTTGTTCATCGGGGGAGTAGGAGTGGGTGTCGAGCATGTACAGCGTGAGCGCTGAGTGAGAGGAAGAGCCCCGTCCGAGGATTTCCACCACGTAATTGCCTACACCCTCAACATCTTCGGGGCCGGCGGTGGAGAGGGAGTAAGGAAGGCCGTCCATAATGGTCATTGATTCGGCGCGGTTGAGGTTTCCTTCATCATCATGATTACCGAATATGCCTGCGTAGGGAATCTTATGTCGAGCAAACATTTCAGAGTATTTAAAGATCGCGCTTTGAGCGTCAGGTGCGGTATCGCCGTTCACTTGGTCGCCAGTTAGGACGACAAAGTCTGGTTGCTCGTCTTCGATCATTCGAGCGAGGAAGTCGAGCGTGCGCGTATCAGCTTCGCATTCCTGTCCTTCCGGGAGTGCATGGCGACATTTCCCCAGGCCCGTCGCGAGATGGAGATCTGCTGCCTGCATGATCTTGAATTTGCCGTCTTTTCGTATTCGAGGGACAGGTCTGTCCACTTTCAGGGCAGGGCCTTTGCGGACCGTGAGACGAGGTTCGGGTGACTCGCGATCTACATCAATGAACAAGGAGATGTCCTGGACTTCCCAATTCGAGCGAGGATCAACCGCATCGTGACCAAAGAGGACGTCAACTCCTGTTACCATGTTGTCATGTCGTTTTGAGGACAACTTAATCCATATTCCGGCGGGGCGGGACTCCCATCTTTCATCCTTTGAAGCTGGATCAACAACTGACGGCTGCAACCGACCAATCTTGACTTCCGTGACCACTTCAGCATGGGTACTTAAATCATCTTCGCGCTGTCTTTCGACATAGAGGTAGGCTTTTGACAAGAAGCCTTTCCCCAGATACAAGTCTTTGTCAACTCGATGCCAGTTTTCGCCGTCGACTGTACATCGGCTGAAAGGGTTTAACGATGAGCAGGTGACGACCGTCAGGTCGGTGACCACGAAACCGGGATGGTGCGCAGGTAGATGGCTGTGGATGGCATTAGGGAGGACTCGGTATCTATTGTCGAGGAACAGGACGAGGAATAAGACAATCGTGATTAACACTCCAAGCTGTATCCCTGTGCGTACCTGCAACAATGGTTAGCGACGTGCAGCAGGTCGAGGTTGAGGCCTGAGCAAATACAAGTCTCCTGGTCATGTTCGCATGTGCAACGCGAAGGCCGCCTGAGCGGGCTCCCTCTCTGGACTGATCCGAGTCCTCGCAACTTCTATCCGATGTAGATCGATGATATCAATGATCATTGAATGCTCTTAGAACCGGGGTTTTGAAATCATGGAATGGGATAAATCCACACTCTCAAGTCTACCATGTTAGCCGTCCACCCGTGTCCCTGATCAAAGTGGCTCGTATTCGCGCGACGAATGATCGACAGAATTACCACAAGTAGCCTAGCTTGGTCTGGGCTTTCGGCAGACCTTCTACTAACGGTATGCTTTGTTGGCAGAATTTCAGTGCAGTGTCAAACTAATCCTTGTCCCTGAAAGAGAGGAAAGTCCGGGGCAGCGTTGATTGAGTTGCGCGGTGGCATGTCTGGGGTGTTCCGATTTCTGAAAAAAGCTTTTGGATTCTCGAGAACCTCGGATCAGGTTGCCAGCGTCCTCCAAAATGCTGTCGCAAGAGATTTGACCCGGTTTGCAGAGGGCGACAGAGTCCTTGTGGATGGATCGAAGCTCACCTTTCCTCTGCAGCGGAACTCAAAGTACGCGTTTTCTAAGGGACAGCTCGCCTTGAACGACATTATCGGCAAGCCGGTCACTTCTACATACGTTCGATCCTCGAAAGGCTCACTGCACAAGATCGAACTCCCGTCGCTTGAGGACTACGTCACGCTCACGCCTCGGCTTGTGACCCCGGTCTACGCCAGCTATGCGTCGTCGATCGTCTCCTTGTTAGACATCCACCCTGAGCCACATACGGCAAACTCGAACCGCAATGTCGGAGCGCGTCGCCTGCAAATTCTAGAAGCGGGTACGGGCCATGGTAGTCTCACTCTGCACCTTGCTCGAGCCATAGCAGCTGCAAACCCACCTCCTCCAGCCATTGAGCTCCCTGTTCTACGCAGAGCCGTGGACAAGAAGTCCACACAGTCATCGCCTATTGCCGAAGATGATTCAGCCGGATCGAACTCGCTCGAGCGGCTGTGGGACGAATGGAAAGAGACACGTGGTGCGGTCCTACACACAGTGGAAGCGGTTCCTGCGAACAGCATCCACGCGGAAAAGGTGGTGCGTGGATTCCGCCGAGGTCTATACTGGCCACATGTGGATTTCTACACAGGAGATGTGAAAGAGTGGGTCGCACGCCACCAGAACTCCAAGGACGAGTTCCTCGACTACGTCCTCCTCGATATGCCTGGCGTACATAATCACATCCAAAATATTGTGCCCGCAATGCGCGACGCGGCCAAACTGGTCGTGTTTGTGCCCTCAATCACGCAGATCGCGGATTGTGTGAAGGTTGTTCGAGAGCTATCCTTGCCACTGAACATGGATAAGGTGTTGGAACTAGGTGAGGGTATCAGTTCGGGGAGGAAGTGGGACGTGAGGCTTGTGAAGCCAAGGAAAAGTACCACGCCCACGACCAATACGGAGACTCAACCGCTGGGTCACGAGCAGGAGCCCGTAGTTGTCTCAAGGCCTGGAAGTGAGAAGGAGCATCAGGGCAGCGCAATCGACGAGGCCATCGACGACGGGGAGCCTGCCGACGGCGAAATTTCCTCAACGTCGCAAGATGACCATCCAGTTATGGTATGCCGCCCGCTTGTCGGCGAGCGCACGTTCGGAGGCGGTTTCATCGCGCTGTTCAGGAAGGCCTCATCTGCATCCGCAGCTCTGGATGCGGAATGGCGCAAGAGTCACACAGGGAGGGCCAAGAGACGAAGTCGCTATGTATCTCGCTTTCCTCAGCCGTCTGGCTTGGGGGAGACTGATCCTGTGACGGACCGAAACCGACGATCAGCAGAACATATATAAGATCACCAATATTGTCGGTTTTGATAGGGTGGTGACCAAAACACACGATGGGTTTGTACAATAATACCGTCAGAGGAAAGATCGGCTCAACTTCAGTGTAAATCGCATTTATTTGCTCCTGTGCAGATACGCCAGAGTCGCGCATTAACGTCTTTTTTTTCTTTTCTCATTGCTCAGCCCTTTTTCTGTCTTCTCTTCATATATTGCCTCGGAGACATGCCACCTGATGCTACAGTCTAGACAGAAAAACACTAAACTCAAGCGTGTATAGCAACAAGAAGAAGAGGAAGAAGCAGGACAACGTCCCACAAAAGACAACCCTGTAGGGATCTTTGATGCAACACAAACGCCATGCACAACTTGGTAAATGCTGATCTCTCGTGGGCCTGTTGCCTTTGTGTTCAACACCAGCCTCCCCCCCGACCAAGATCTATTTCCAAAACCTCAACCCGACTCGACAAGCATGCGTGCGTGGCTACTTCAAAGTAACAGGCACGCTTGCCTTCGCCTTTTCCAAGACGCTCTCTGCGGCCGGCATAGCTCGGCTCTTGAGCTTGGCAGCGGCCTCTTTGAGCTTCTTCTGCCGCATGATCCGGATGTAGGAGAAGAGTAATAGGAAGAGTATTTCCACTCTTTCCTTGGTCATCATGAGGATGCCTTGCACCATGAGGCCCTTCATGAGTTGAGGACCAATCCCCTTGAAAAGCGCGAGTGGCCCTTCATGTTCGATGATATATGCCATCACTTCGGTGAAGGTCTTGAAGTGTTTGCCTTCCCGGGCTGGCGGAGGTCGGGATTGGAGGCCAACTTTGGCCACAATCAAAGGCTGGGTGCAGATCGTTGCGATCGACTTGGAGATGGCTCCAAGGACTGCCCGCGCGTGTCAGTACGATGTCACACCTTGACTCGAATCCCATTTGACTTACCAAAAGCCTCCCATGGGTGGAGTCTCTCCCGACCTGGGAACATAATGTCCTTCAGACGCTGATAAGCGCCGTATGTGAT